GAGCAAGGAAACACTGCATGGTTCAAAATTGGGAAGGGCGTACGCCAGGGATGTGTCCTGTCCCCATACCTTTTCAACCTGTATGCAGAACAGATTATTTAGGAGGCTGGCTCTATGAAGGGAAGTGTGGTGTCAGGATTGGTGGAAGATTTATCAACAATCTGTGTTATGCAGATGACACAACCCCGGTTGCTGAAACTGAGGAGGATCTGAAATGCTTGCTGCAGAGGATCAAGGACTTCAGCCTTCAATATGGATTGAGACTCAATGTCAAGAAGACAAATATTCTCACCACTGGACCAGTTAGCAGCATCAGGATGGATGGTGAAGAGATTGAGATCGTTCACAGCTTTAGTCTGCTTGGCTCCACGGTCAACACTCTTGGTACCAGTAGGCAGGAAATGAAAAGACATATTGCGATGGGAAAGTGTGCTTTTTGGGACCTTTCCAAAGTTCTGAAGAGCAATGCTGTCTCTCTGGATACTAAGGTGCATCTGATACAGGCCATGGTCTTCACAATCACTTGTTATGCATCAGAGAGTTGGACAATGAGTAGGGAGGATAGAAGGAGAATTGATGCCTTTGAGCTGTGGTGCTGGAGAAGAGTATTGAGTATACATGGATGCTAAGAAAACAAACAGATTCATCGTAGGGAGGCTTAATCCAGGCAGCTCCTTGGAGGGAAGGATTCTGTGGCTTCGTCTGACATACTTGGGACATGTTGTAAGGAGGGAACAGTCCTTGGAAAGGGACATCATGCTTGGGAGGGTGGACCGACAGCACAGGAGGGGAAGGCCCTCTATGAGGTAGATTGATTCAGTGACTGGGTTAATCGGGATGGGTGTATCGGAGACAGTGGGATTGATTGGCACAGGACAGAGCAGAGTTTAGGGCTGTTGTACATAGGGTTGCTTTGAGTCACAGGCGACTCAATGGCACATAACAATAACAACAAAGTAGAGATAGGCAGTAGTGGAAGAGACCAGCAGTAGTGTGAGGCACAAGATATCACAGAAATTACTTGTGGCCTAAGCCATCATATCAATGGGTAGCTAGGCTGAGGAATGTACTGGAGGGGGGAGGGGAGAGCCTAATGGGATACTGATGTATCAGGGAAGGGGAAGGGAAAAGACACGTGTGGGGTGGGGGTGGGTAGGCACACTGGATGCATTGGTTATTTCTGTAAGGTTATTTCATTTGCTCCTTTTATTAAATTGCTTGTCTGTCAGATACTGTTCTAAAGCTGAGCATCCAAATTAAGACGGATTAGGAAGAAGGATTGACCATCACTTCTGAAATATAACAGGCCTTTGAAAACTGTAAGTACTCTAGAACATACTTAAAACAAATTAGGAGATATAACACCTGAGGCTGAACCCTCAAATTTGGAAACACTGATGAAGAGGAATAGTTGTAAATGGAAACTAATGATTAGAGCATAGAATGTGAGAAGAATGAATGTAGAAAAACTGGAAATCGTTAAGAAAAACAAACAATATATACTAATTTTACGAACTTTGTATGTAAAGCAGTAAAAAATATTCTTTTTTTAAAAAAGAAAGAAATGGACTTAAATGTTGGCATACTAGATATTGGGGAAATGAGATGGATTGGCAAAGGACATTTTCTATCAGATAGTCATATAGTCTACTACGCCAGAGATGAAAAGGTAAGAAAAAATGAAGTCGCTATGATAGTTTAAAAGGTAATTTCTAGATCCATATTGAAATACAATGTTGTGAGTGACAGGATAATACCTCATACACATACAAAGAAGTCCAATGAATACCTCTATCATTCAAATATATGGGCAAACAACCAGAGCTATAGAAGAGAAGAGAAATTATTTCTGCCTACTTCTGCAGTCAAATCTATTGAACGAACATTCAGTCAAGATGCATTGATAATAATGGGTAACTGGAATGTAAAAGTTTGGAATCAGGAAGAAGGATCAATAGTTTGAAAACATGGACTTGGTGACAGATATGAGACTGGGGATAGAATGATAGAATTCTGCACAATTGATTTATTTATAGCAAATACATTTTATAAAAAAGCAAATGCAGGCTGTATACACATGAATTTCCCCTGATGGTATGCACAGGAATCAGATTGATTACATCTATGGAAAGAATCACTGGAAAAGTTCAGTATCATCAGTGAAAACTACTAGGCCAGGTGCTGATTGTGGAACTAGTCATATGCAAGTTCAAACTAAAGCTAAGAAGGTCAAATCAAATCCACAAGAATAAAAATTTGATGTTGAGTCCATCCCATCTGAATTTAAAAACCAACTCAAGAACAGGCTTGAGGCTTTGAACACTAATGAATGAAGACTGGATGAGCTGTAGGAGGATATAAAGAATATCATCCATGAAGAATGCAAAGGGTCGTTGCAAAGGAATTAAAAAGAAAGACCAAGATGAATGTCAGAAGAGACTCTGAATATTGCACTAGAGCACCTAGAAGGCAAAGCAAAAGGAAAAAATCTAGTAGCAAAGGAGCTGAATAGATGATTTCACAGGGCTGCTGGGGAGGACATAGCAAAGTTTTATAATGAAACATGCAAAGTTCAGGAGTCCAAAAATCAAAAAGGCCAAATTCGCTCAGCATTTCTTAAGCTGAAGAAACTAAATAAGAAAACCAGCCTCTAATTGCATCCACTTCCTAAACAATATGCCTCTGGAAACTCTATAAACTTTGATAAATGTCGGTAGTTAGAGAAAGGCTTCAGGCCTTTGGTTTTAGGGATAATCCACTTAAGTATAAGAATAGTCAGTAAGATCCTACAGCCACTGTGCTTTGGGATCCATTCTATTCTCCCCTTGAGTGGGGGGGACTCAAGAGCACTTCCTAGTCACTGGAATTAATACATAAGCTAAAGGCAGTTTATTTATTTATTTTAATAATAACATTTTTTTAATTTTAATTGTGATTTTTAAAAAGTTGGATTTTCATTGATTCATTGTTGCACATTTTCCCTCCCACTCTTCCTACCCCCAGTTAACTTTCTTTTTCTTTTCTTTTTTTTTAATGTTCATTCATTGTCACATGGTTCCCCTCCTCAGTCCTCTTTGTAATGTACTTCTTATTCTGGACTGTTGTAGTACATATAATGCCTCATCATACATTCTTTTTAAACAGTTCTTTCCTTCCTTTGTTCCAATACAATGTTCATTATCTATCCACTCTTTTCCTATTCTCCCAATCCCTCACGTCAGCCCTGCTTTATAGCAGTGGTGCTATGCAATATTTATCTTTCTGTGACTGAAATATTTCACTCAGCATAATATCCTCCAGGGCCACCATTACATGTTGTGCAATGTTTAACAAGTTCATTGTTTTTCAGTGCTGCATAGTATTCCTTTGTGTGGATGTACCATAGTTTATTCATTTGTTAATGGACACTTGGACTAATGGGCACTTGGACTGCTTCCATCTCTTTGCTATTGCAAATAATGCAGCAACAAACATGTATGTGCATGTATCTGTTTGGGTGGCAGCTCTGGTTTCTTTAGGGTATATTCCCAATGGTGGAATTGCTGGATCAAATGTTATTTCTATTTCCAAATTTTTGAGAAAGTGCAGACTGCCTTCCATGGTGATTGCACCATTTTACATTCCTACCAGCAGTCAATAAGGGTACCAATTTTGCCGTAACTTTGCCAGCATTTGTTGTTTGCTGCAAGACAGTTTATTTTAAAAGGAAGTATTTTAACTCAGTATCAGGGAAAATGTGCAAAGAAGAACAAAGCCTGAACCCTTGAGAAGTGCTGATGCCCTGGTGCCCTCTGCTTCCAGCTGCTGTTGGATTTCTGACTGTGTCCAGCATCATCACCATGTCTGCGCCTTTCTTCTTGGGAAGAATCATTGATGTTATTTATACAGACCTGACTGTAGACTACACTAGCAAGCTGACTAGCCTCTGTCTTGCCCTCAGTGGAGTGTTTCTTTGTGGAGCAGCTGCCAATGCCACCCGTGTCTACCTCATGCAGACCACAGGT